AATGCACAACAAAATATTTTATTATTTATTTTACTTATTTTACTATTTTATCTGTTTATGAATTTACAAAATTTTTCACATATTCTGCATTAAACTTTTTCACCATATATCTGACAGCTTTTATTGTTGATTGCAGTTAAAGTAGTATTTCTTTTGCTTATTTTGTTATACTATTTTACGTTTTAATTACATTACTTAAGTACTATAGTTTGTTTTGTTCCTAAAAGTTTTACTATTCTTAAATATGTTGCAACTTTCTCTTTCCTATTACTGCTATTATTTTTACAATTACAAATATAAATAACAAAATATTAGCTACAAAATGAAAATTAAAGATTTCATTAATTTCAAGTAAACTGCAATTTAACATTGAACAATTCTTTCGAATAATACTTTTTGTTAGTTTCGTGCTTCTACTGACATCGTTTAAAATTGCATTTTGCCGCCTTTTTGTGCGTCAGCAATTCGAGGTCGATTGACCAACGCGCCGTCTCTACTTTCCCAATCTAAAGATTTACCAGTCTCTGGTTATGTTTGATGCACTGTTGTATTCTTGATTACGGTAGGTTAGTTGCATCGGAACGTCACAGCTGCTATAGAAATACGCCACGGAAGTGGAATTACGTCACTTTCTACCTTATTTCGTCACATGTATAATAAAACGTCACTTCTGCGCTACAGTATCGCGGTCGATCACGTAGATCTTTTTCAGCAGCTGCTAAAATGCCTTCTCTTTACTCCACTGGTACATCGAGTGATACGCAATGTCGTTTTAAAATAATAAATTGACGCTCTTGCTTAAAAATAAATTGTGTAAAAAATAAAACGAATATTTATCGCAACTAAACATTTTATTACAATTGCTTGTAAGATTATTAAAACTTGTCTTTACCGATATGATTTATAAATTGCAATTTGTTTAAGAATTTTGATAAATTGTTTAAGATATTGTGAAATTTTTTTCACGTATTTTCACTGTTAGTACTTTTTTTAAATGAAAGTTATTTTGCAGTAGATTATTTTCGTAAAAATAATGTGATGGTGTAACTTTATTGCTGGTAATAAATGTAATAAAAACTTCGATGTATTTCGAAAGGTTACTTGAATATATTATTACATTTATTTACTTTTCATTCTTATAAAAATGATATTGATATTCATAACAATGGCATGGAACGTATTTTAGCAATTTATTCTCACTCTCTTTGTATTACTTTATAACCTAAGTGATTTATTCTTCTCCGTCTTTTTATTCTTCATTCAATAATAAAAGCATCATCTTATACGAATTTATATCAATAATAGAGAATAGTAATTTATTTTCAATTCTACTTGGTATATCCTTTTCAAAAGACACATTAAAATTAAAGCAATTATTTCCTTACTTTCATTCATTATTTTTTTACACAATTCATTAACAATTTTATTACATATTTTACATTTAGTACATGCATTACTAAACAATTTTGAAAGCTTTTAAAATTAATAATATAATTTCAAAAGTAATAATTATTCTATGTACATTACGATTTCATTTTAATTTCACCAACAATGATAACCTACTTACTTGAGTACTTAACTTATCTCGTAGACCTCATATCAGATGGGTTATCCAGTTTTGCAGATAAAACTAGTCGGCAAGAGATAGCAGAGTTGGTAAAGTCGAAACCAAGGATATTTTTGTAACAGAATAACAGGAAGTGCAGAAGTTTCTTTCAGCACAGTTGACACAAATGTAGTTAACAGTGAAACGACAGCCATAAAATGTCACGTTAATCAATAATAACGCGTTAAATTACTTTTTAGTACAAGAAATAATATTTTTTCTTTTAATTGCAAGTTTAAGGTCGTATGCACCTTCTAAGAAGAAAAAATAATAATAATTGTGAAATATTTTTTAAGAAATAATATCTATTTAAAGATTGACATTATTCTAAGGAAATATCAATATAAATATTATGATAGCGAAAGCTAGTAAAATATTCGGCACAATATTAGATACTAAATAGTACACAGGTTTTCTTTTTTAAATATTGTAATGTTAAGATAATTGCAACGTTAAATTGAACGAACGTGATTAAAAATTTGTGACTATAATATTAACAAACTCAGATCTATTTTACTTAATTATATTTTAAATAATTTATTTATTATTCTTGATCGAACATGCTGAACGAAGACAGTAGAATTGAATTTCACTACTACTGCTATATAAAATATAAATGTGATCATGATTTAAGTACACGAATGGAAGATTATTGGTATTCGTATTTATTTACAAGATAATTATAAACATCATAATGTAAACGTAATAATCATAATATAAAATTGGTCATCGAATCGATGTACATACTACTTTTTGTTTGAATGGTGTAACATTAAGGAAATGTTCCTTCAGAATCATAAATTATATAAATAACCTTTTTTTTTTTTCTGGAAAAAAAATTGTAGAAAATTTGATAATTATTTTGACAACAAAGCAGGAAACTGATAGAGTAATGCAAGCAACGAAAACGTATGTAGTTTATATAAAATATAGTACACCAAATTTTTAGTAAGTTGAGAATTCTTCAATTATGGTTGAATAATCAAGAAGCAAGATAAACAAATATAAAATAAATTGTATAAGAAAAGTCTGATTTGCTTTATGGTCACAATGAATTAATTTATTAATTACTTCTTTATTATCTTATCTTACAAATAACCATTCTAACAAAAAACCTTTCGTATAATTTATTGAAAATAGATTTCAATAAAGGAATGTAAATATTTTATAAACATTGTAACTATTATATCAAATATTTTCGTATTTTTAATTAGTTCCAAGTTATTTTTGGTTTCTCTAAATTGTAGTTTTTATGCAAGTAGAAAACTAAATTTATCATATTTATCTGTTCTATTATATTTTTACACTCATACACACGTATGAAATTATAATTTTGCATTTCACGCTATCAGCTTCCTCTTAATGTTGCTACTTCTTTATAATTAATATGTATATTCGTATATATAGATATTTATCATTTCCAATCTAGTTACCTGCTTTTTCAATTCCCTTTCTTACACTCATCTTAACTTTATCCTCTATCAAAGTGTAACTCCCGAAACGTGAAATCTATAATTCCTTTTTCAACAATTTTTTAAATCTACTATTAAGTTACAGTTAACCCTGCCTTTTGTGCGTAATGTAATCCTTTTATTTTAATTCGTAATTCTCTCCTTTCTCTTTTTATCAAAACACAATAATTCAGGAACAATAAGTACATATTTATGTATCTTTATCCAGCGCACCCTGTTAATTCTTTACCAATTCTATTTAAGAACATTTATTTGTATCGTTAACAATGAATTTATTCACTCATGTAACTGGGCAAGGGGCGATATTGCGTGTGAAAATAAACCGAAAATAAAGAACAACATTTTTTCACAAAAGGCTTTGTTTTCGAGAAAATTGAATTTAAAGATTCGCTCCAAACTGTTGCTTCCGCTCGTACTTTTATGTTGATAAACCGCAGTAATGTCGTATTTCGCAAAGAAATAGTGTAAATATTCTGCAGCTGAAAGGAAGAATCAGGCAATTTCTACAAAGAATATTTTATGCGTTAACAAGGACGTCACTTTCAAAAATTATTTCAGTAATGAAAATTTCAATTAAAGAAATCGTTAATAAATGTATTATCAGTACTTATCATGACATTGGCACTGCTTATCAATTCAAACTCAATTTTCACGAAAACGGGGCTTCAAACGAACAAATTTCATTCTTCATTTTCAATTTACTTTTACACGGACAATTATCTCTTTCCCAGTTTTACCACGCGTCCTGCCTCACCCTGTATAAGAATGATTTATTCGTCTCCTAACTCAAAATATCGAAAAGGTGGTTAACATTACTTCTAAATTGATTTTCAAAATCTCGTTAAATGGCAGAAAAAGAAAACATCTTTTAACCCTTATGTAAGCAACCTAAATGTTCACAGTTATTTCAAGCTTTCAAAATTGTTTGCATAAATTTTTATTTTAATACCGACGTAAAAATGTCCAAAAAATATAAATTCAGAGCGATTTTACGATACTTTCACAAGAACATAAAAAATTGTTAAAGAAAAGTATAGAACCCGGTTGCCTACACAAGGGTTAAACAGATAACTCCAAAATTATAATTAATTCAAGACGGAGGTGTGGTACTGTCAGACCGAAGCTGCGAAGGTGCAGCTTCGCTGTACGCGATGTCGAATACACTTTTCTTCTCTAGCAACTGTTGATGCCGTAACCTATTTCCACCCTGTAGCGATATAGCTATTCCAGAATCGAATTCTTCATCGACATGTCCACGTTCCACCGTCGACTGAACTTCAAAATGTTCCGGGGACAGTTGGGGCGATGGATGAGGAGCAGGCGGAGGATGAAGGTAAAATGGCGCGGGTACTTTCTCGTATTTGTATTCAGAATGTTGCACCAGACGATGTTTGGGGTCTGCTTGCGACGGAGCAGGTGGTATCGATGCAAATATCTGTACAGGTGGGTCTTCAATCTTCCCACCTTCGGCTCTTCTCAATTTTCTTCCTTGACGAACTATGGCTTTCAACTGTTCCGACTCGACGTTCACCAAAGGCTTAACTTTGCGTCTCGTTCGCGGAGTTGTGTCTCCAGTTTTCTGACCAGACACCTTCTTCTCCTCCTTCGCGGGTTTCTGATTCTTCATGCTTCTTCGTAACCACCGAGGAAGCTGTTCTTCGTCATCCGTCGCCATCAACTCAGCTCGTTTCTTCTCCATCTCTTCCCTGTTCTTCTTGTACCATGCCATGTACTTCGGCTGTGCTTTGCTCGTATCGATCTCCTTGGTTTTCGACAGAGTCGAGTGTTTTTCACTGCTGCTCGATGATTTCTTGTCCTTCTCCGCCTTCGATTGCGGCGTCGAATGTTTTTGCCGCGACTCTCCGTCCGTTTTTCTCGACTGTTTTGTCTGATCGCCGTTTTTTTGCTTCGACTGCCCCTCCTCGAACTTTCTGCGCGTTCGATACCGAGCATGACTCGCCACATCGCGAGAATGAGTTGCTTTGTCTTCGGAAGATTCCTCCGAGGAACTCTTTTTCTTCTTTTGCACAGGTACTCTTTTCCTCTCCATCTCCTTCGGTTTCTTGTTGGGACCTTTGAAAGTCTCGGATCTTGCAACTTTGGGATACGACGATGGTTCATTTTTAATATTAGCTGTTCGATGGGTCCCTTTTCTTTCGGATCCTAGCTTCTCTTCTTTTGTCTGCTTAGGGATAGTTGGAGGTTCTTTACCAACTTCTGAACTATGTGTTGACTCTGCTTGCTTATTCTTCTGCATACTTCCTGCATTAATCAGAGCTATTGCTTTCTCGCGACTAGAAGGCATTTCTGTATCCGTAGATGTTTTATCTTCTTCTCTTAATCGAGCTTCTTTATCTTTCACTTCCGTAATTAGTTTCGTAGGAGAACGCAGTTCTTTACTTGTGTCTTCAATTTCTTCGAGCATTTTTTCCTCGATTGACAATTTCGTTTCTTCGTCTTCCATCATTTCAATTGTTAACGTTGCTCTATCTTCGTCTTCGGCAGCTTGCGCTTCAGTTCGTTGCATTGCTTGAACAGTCTCTTTCTCGGGAGATTGCCTCGCGTGATGTCGTGGTGTCTGATACGGTCTGGTGGTCAGTGTTGTCTTCCTGGAAATATCACTCGATGAATCACTATCGTCGGAATCGTCCATTCTATCTATTAGGTTTGTAAAAAGTGGAAGGCTTACGTCTGCATATTCTTCTTCGACAGGTTTATCCGTCTTCTCTTCTTCGACCGTGTCTTCCTTCAAAGGTGATGTTATGTCAATTTTCTCCTCGGTTAAATCTTGATTATCTGATTCAGCATGTGAAACAGTTGTAGATACATTAGGTACCGTGTACGACTGTCCCTGTGGAAATGGCTGAATTTTATCTCCCTCCGCGGAGAAAGTTTCTTCCTCAACAAATTGCTCCACTTTTTGTAATTCAGTTTGCCCGCTCTCTGACTTCAACTGCTTTTCGGGGCCGGATATTTTCGCAGAATCTGTTGGAGTTTCTGATATAATGGAATCTAACGCAAACTTTTCTTCCTCTGTCATCTCGGATGTCTGCCGGGAAGTTTGAAGCAATTCTGTTCCCTGAAAACTACTGCTCACTTTACTTGGCGGTTCGTGCAACTGCTTCTCCTTTTCAGTAGTTCGTGCTAGTTTGCCATCTATCCTTTCATTATCCGAAACTTTCTCTGGTTCCACGCTTCCTTCGAGTGCCTTATCCGATGATTCTTGTACAACAGCTTGTCGATCCTCGATTTTTTCGAGTGCCGCTTTTGCTGGCGATGCTGATTCATCTTTCAAAGGCTCGTCGATTTCTTCTTTTTCGATAGATTTTTCAGGGGATAACGATTCGCTGCTTTCTTCGTTTTCTTTTGATTTCGCTGCTTTTGGTTCTACTGTGATATCAATTTGCGAACCCTTTTCCATTGTATCCTTCGAATCAGTTACTGTTTTTTTATCATCATCGAGAATGATTTCATTTTTTTTTTCAACTATTTTATCATCTGTTTCTTGCTCTTTTAATTTTACAGATTTATCAGCTGTTTGTAAGCTTAATTCGCTAGCATTCGTGATTTCTATTTGCTTTTTACTTTCATCGTCAGGAGATAAAGGAGGTGCTTCTTTTTCCATGATCTTTTCATCTGGAGTTTCCTTTTCGGTACTCGAACTTGCTGATCCTTTGCCATTCGTAAATTTGTCGACTATCGAATGGACAGCTTTGAATACTTCCGACAGAACTCCATCTTTCTTATCGGTCTGTTCGTCAATTTTTGACGATTCAGTTGTTTCTTTTTTTATATCTTCACTAGAAAACGTAGAAAATTCTGTTGGGGCATCTATTGTTTTCTGATTGTCTTGTTTTTCAGTAATAGACTCTTTTGGCGAAGAGTCTTTTTCTTGAACGAAACTATCTGCAACTTGAGGAACTTTCGAAGCATCTTCTTTACGGATATCATGATCTTCAACTTCTGGAATATCATGTTTAGCGACAAGTTGTTGTTCAGTTTCTAGGATTCCTGAAACATTTTCTTTTTCACTGCTTAGGTCATCAATCTTTTGTGTTTCTGGAATCATTTCTTTTTCTCCAATTTTATGATCGTCAATTCCTTGTATTTCCTTAATATCTTCTTTTTCACTAATTTTGTCGTCATCACGCTTTTGTATTTCGGGAATTGTTTCTTTTTCTCCAATTTTACGATCGTCAATTTCTTGTATTTCCTTAATATCTTCTTTTTCACTAATTTTGTCGTCATCACGCTTTTGTATTTCTGGAATTATTTCTTTTTCTTCAATTTTATGATCGTCAATTTTTTGTGTTTCTTTAATACCTCCTTTTTCTCTAATTTTATGGTCATCACGCTTTTGTGTATCAGGAATCATTTCTTTTTCTTCTGTTTTATGATCATCAATTTCCTGTATTTCCTTAATATCTCCTTTTTCACTAATTTTGTCGTCATCAAGCTTTTGTATTTCTGGAATCATTTGTTTTCCTCCAATTTTATGATCGTCAATTTCTTGTGTTTCCTTAATATCTTCTTTTTCACCAATTTTGTGGTCATCACGCTTTTGTATTTCTGGAATAATTCCTTTTTCGCTAATTTTATGATCATCAATTTCTTCGGCTTCTTTAATAACTTCTTTCTCACTAATTTTATGGTCATCATGCTCTTGTATTTCTGGAACAACTTCTTTTCCGTTAGTTTTATGACCATCAATTTTTTGTGTTTCTGTAACTTCTTTCTCACCGATTGGATACTCATCGTCTTTTTGAGTTTTTGATGTAATTTCTTCTTCACTAATGTCACAGTTATCAACTTTTTCTATTTCTGAAACAATTTCTTTTTCGCTAATTTTTTTATCATCAACTGTTTGTGCTTCTTTAATTACTTCTTCCTCGCTAATTTTATGATCTTCTGACTTTTGCATTTCCGGAATAATTTTTTGCCCGTTAATTGTAGGATCATCAGTTTCTTGAGTTTCTTTAACACTTTCTTCTTCGCTAATTTTATAGTCACCATGTTTTTGCGTTTCTGCAATAATTTCTTTCTCATTAATTTTATAATCATCAACTTTGTGTGCTTCTGTAGCTATTTCTTCTTTCTTGTCTTGGTGCTTCTCTTCTTCTTTATCTTCAATAATTCTGTCTTCTTCTTTTGTTATATCATACACGTCCCTTTTTTTAGCAGATTTTCCTTCATCCAGATATTTTTCCTTATCTCCTTTAGGCGGTATATTTTCTTTTTCACTAATTTTGTCATCGTCAGTTGCAATCTTTTCTACAGAAACTTCTTTTCTAGCAGAAATTTCTTCTTTTTCAATTGCATCCTCTACAGTTTTTTCTATTTTATCCAAAGAAACCTTTTCTGTTTTACTGATTTGAGAATCGTCAATTTGATTTTCTGCAGCAGAAGCTACCTTTTCTTCAATGCTTGCGTCTGTTTTTAAAAGAATATTTTCTCTGCTACTTTTACCACCATCAATTGATTCAATTTCCATTGAAGTTTTTTTTGCTTCATCACTTATTTCTTCTTTTTCACGAATAATTGTTTCCATGTCAGTTTTACGATTCTCAGTTGAATCCTTAATAATTTTCTGATCCTTAGTCATTTCTTCAGTAATTTTATTATCCTCAGTTGCTGCTCCAACAATTTTAAAATCATCAGTTGTTTCTTCCATAACTTTGCTACCCTCAGCTGTTTCTCCAGAAATTTTCTGATCCTTAGATGTTTCTTCGGTATTTCCACGATCCTCAGTTACTTCTTCAGTTATTTTATGGCCCTCGGTTGTTTCTCCAACAACTTTAAAATCCTCACCTGTACTTTCTACTGTACTTCCTTCTTTTTCGTCAATCTTGTTTGTTCCGTCTAAAAAAGTACTTTCTGCAATTTGATCATCAGGTTTAATTGTTACACTGTCTTCTTGTTCTTCGGTGGACTTTTCTGATTTATCTAAAAAACCATTTTCTTCCTTTCTCTGACCATTCGTTTCAACTTTTGCAATAGTGCCTTCTCTGTGGGGAGTTTCTGTCTTATCTGGGTCAATCTTTTCTTTTTCACGACCATTTGTTGTAATTTTCGTTTCACCCTCCTTCGTATCTTTAATTGTGTCATCTACAATTCGAATATCCGCGTATTCTACTTGTTTCTCTTTTTCTTTGTCACTCTGATGCATTTCATCGTCCTTTGTACGTGCTTTGAATTCATCCACTGTATCTTCTTTTGTAATCTCTTTCTTATCACTTGACATTTCAAAATTTGCCCAGTTTTCAATTGGTTCTTCTATCTTTCGTATTAAATCCAGTTTACTTTTTCCTCCTATTGGTGTTTCTATTTTAACTTCTATCTCCTGTTTCATTCCCTTCTTATCTTCAGTATCAGGTTTAATTTTTTTTTCTACATCAGTGTCAATCGTTTCCTTTTCTTCTGTCACAATCTGTTCAACTTTATGTTCCGGTTGTACTTTCTCAAGCGTTTCTAATATCGCAACTTTTCCCTTGAAATCTTTCAACAAACTTTCCGGTTTCTCTTCAAAATCTTTGTGCGCCTCATCCAGTTCCTTATCTTGCTGTTTATGCCCTTTTTCCTCTTTTACAGATTTAGTTTCAATCTGGTGTTTGGTACTCTCTAATAATTTATCTTTTTCTGTATAAATTTCTGATTCATCCTTAACATGTTGCACTGCGTCTCTCTTAATTTCACTTTTTATTTCATCTTCCTGCACGTTTTCCTTTATTTCAGTTTTCTCACTCTGTTTTACACTTTCGACGCCGATTAACTTTGCATCCAAAGTTTCTTCTCGTTTTCCAGGCATTCCCGCCTTTTTATATCCAATTTCAGGAGATCTAACTTTTTTTTTCGTTTCTCCATCTCGCACAGTGTTTCTACTTTCACTTGAGCTTTCTTTTTTAATTGTAGCATCGTCGATCTTCGCGTAATCTTTAACTAATTCTTGCACAGGATCTGGACGAGTTGCAGGATTACCAATTTTCTCCTCAAATTTCGAAGATTTCTGAAACAAGTCTTTCGCCCTTTCCAATTTCTGTTTCGATAATTGTACCGTGTCAGCGGTACCTTTGCCAACAAATTTCCTCTGTTTCTCAACTTTTGCATCTCGTTCTTCGTCATTAGAAGTTGTTCTCGACTTCGAGCTCTCTCCTTTCCAATCTTCGACGAAGTCATCGCTAAATTTCTGTATCACATTCTTCTTAAACGTTTCTTCCTGACATTGGTGCATGCCATTCGAATCTCTCCCTGAAAAATCTGCGCTACTCTTCTTCTCAGAGTCTTGCAACATAGATACACCTTTTCCATCCTTCTTTTCGTCTGAACTAGTGCTCGTCTCCTCGGTCACGTTTTGCCTACGAGATATGAGGGACATCTTAGGCGCTCGTGACATAATCTTCCCAATCCTTTCGAGCTTTAAATCAGTCTTCGGCGTTTCCTTCGACGGTCCATCCTTCCGCTTCTCAGCTTCCTCGTCGCGCAGTTCAGCCATTTGCTTCCTAATTTCTCGTCGATCGATCTGTGCCTGACGTTTCAGCTTCACGTGACTCTGAGCACCGATCGGCTGTTTCTGTTTCAGGCCTTCTTGACGAGTTCCAGTTAGCTTCTTCGGCCTGTCGAGAGTATCGTCGTACTCCGAACTTCCGGTACTCATTACCTGAGTCTGCTGGTATTTCAATTTCTGCTTCGTTTTCGCTATGGCCGACTCCTTCTTCAGTTTCGCTTTTTGCTCGCTTTTCGACGCACTCGCTGCACTTTCAGCAGCTTGCTTGTGAGAAGCGTCCACTTTCTTCGTACTTTTCTGATCCACGTCTTTCTTCGGATCCTTCGAAAACGATTCCGGCTTCTCCTGGCTCGTACTGTCGCTGCCAGTGCTTCCGTGAAATTTTTTATCACTCAGTTTACTCAGTTTCTTCGTGAGCATCGTGAATTCCTTCTCGAGAATCCGGAAACTCGGCTTTATCATACCGTTCGACTTCTTCTGCTCCTTCGATTTTCCCTCCTTTCTCGCGTTCTTCTCCTCCGTCTTCTCCC